TTTATCCTTGAGTACCATTGATTCTCTAATGGATAGTGATTCATAAAACACATTCATGAATCGGAGCTCCTACTGGTCCAAGTACCGAATCAACCCTCAAGAGAATTATTTATCTACTTCTTTCTTAAGAAGGAATGGATTCCATCTCGTGTAATAACATTCCCGGCTACCTACTTCATCATGTCTCCAAAATACAAGGAATAGGATTCAAGATCTCAGAATCCGTACCGAGTAAATCAAAAGACACAAATCTATAAATAGGAGTCTGTTAAGAATTCAGGATTAAGATCATCCTATATATGACCATCGGTAGACTCAATTAGAATTTCTATACTTAACGGAATTATTAGAAATTCATATTGTGTCTGTGTCCTTGTTCCACATAATCTCATTATGCGAAAAACACTCATTCAATATCTCACCATATTAACAGTGCGGATAACACCGTTCCATTCTTAATGGGAATGACATGTATTAATAATGTTTTAATTAAAGATTCCGAACTTTAATTAAATTCATTATGAACATTGCTTTTTGATTATTATCCTTAAACATTATCCTCTCGTATATAACACTTATATACAATGTTTAAAGTTACATAAATAACCATGGAATTTTCATTGATATTCATAAAATATTCATAAATATATGCACATAAAATAATGAATAAACTCTTTTATTAAATAAATAATAAATATCCTATTACATCTCATGCTTCTAGGACACTATTCCCAACAAGAGATTCGAACCTCCTTGGCCGGTAAACCTAGCTCCGAGCTTCGCGTAGGAAGAGAGCTTCACGTGGAGATCATCTTCGATCTTCTTTCCACAACCCAATCTTCACAAAATCAGAAACCGTGAGATTCTTCCCGTGAGGATTTCTTCCCGTGAGATGGACTGGAAAATTAGGCATTTGGGGGAAAGTTAGAAATATGAGGGAACCTAACACCGGCCTTCAATTTCAGAGCAAATCCAGAGGAAACTTACGGAATTTTGGGGAAAGAGAAGTGGTGGAGCGTGGTTTGTTCGACAGAGTGGGGGAATGAGTTTTTTTTTTTTTTCGAGCGGGAAAGTATTTTCAATACCCGCCTATTGTTATTTTCTGGGACGTTTGTTTCCTATATTCGTCATTAATTCTGAATCATGATTTATAGTTTTCTACAGTATTTTCTCTCACAAAAAATACACGTAAAACAAAAATAATTCTGAATCATAATTCTGAATACATAAACCAAACATCCTCTTAATGTGGTACATTTATATATTATTAAATATATATAAAACAAACCGTCAAAATGTCAAGAAATTTTAATATATATATATATATAAATATATTATAATTATTTCTAAACACTATTATATATAAACACAGTAACGTTTTTTTTAAAAACGTTATAACTAATAGCTACGAAAAGCCTATTTTCTTGTAGTTAAGTTTCACTTAAAAAAATATAAATATATAGTCACAACATTTTTGTGTGACTAAATGTATTTTAAGTCACAACCTTATTTGTGTGACTAAATGTATGTTTAGTTACAACCTTATGACTAACGTGTATTTAATCACAAAATGTGTTTTGTGACAAACTTTGGACCCTCGGACTTTTTAGTCACGGATACTTTTTTTCTTGAAGGTAAAAGTCTTTCCTAGAAAGGAGATAGAAACACTAAGTGCATGTTTGGTTGGGGGATTGAGGGATTCAAATCCCCTGATTAAGGTCAAATCAGTGTTTGGAAAGACAAAAATGAACAGTAAAAAATGGGATCAGAAAAGTGATTGGGATCATTTTGGGGCCTGATTTTGGAATCAGCCCCCAGAAAAGTGATTGGGATCATTTTGGGGCCTTGCGCCCCCCCCCCTCCCCGCCTGATTCACCCGTTTGAAACCCCATGAACAGTAAAAAAAGGTGATTTGACATGGTGATTTGACATGCGGGTGAGAATTTTTCTCATTGGCTTGTTATATAATTGTTCTCGTATTTGATGTGGCGAATTTTTTTCTACTAATTGGCTTGTTATAAATTGTTGCTCGTGGGAGACAAGTTATGTTTGGCTTTTATATTTAATTCACATTTTTTTCATATATTTCTCACTTAGCTTGTTATAATTTTGAGTTATAATTATTTGCATAATTTTTTTTAATACTTTATTTTTTTAATTATACGACGAATTATATTTTTTTTAAATTACACGTAACAATTTATATTTATTATATAATTTCTTAAATTATATTTATTTTGGTCATGATTCAAATTCAGAAAATAAGACAACTAAACACTGGTTCGAATCGCATTTCAGGTTAGAATCAGAATCATGCATATACACATCCAAACGAAGGTTCTGATCACTCTGAATCATGATTCAAATCATGAATCATGGATCTGAATCAAATGACTCAAATCACCCTGATTTCAATCCTTATACCAAACGAACCCTAATATTGATACAAGTGATCTCATAATACAAACATAGCTTAACCCTGATCATTGACCAGTTTCATCACCTATCTTGAAACGTGGGAAGGGACGAAAACGTTGACGAAGCGCCTGCAGCAAGAAGCTGGCATGGGGAATGAGCACACATGTTGCTCTTTAAAATCACACGTCGATAATTGATCGACAACTCTGGACAAACTCTAAGATAACTATGGACCAGAAGTCACCCATAACATTGTTCAAAAACACCTTAAGCCGATGGAACATGATAAAACAATCAGCTAGTGGGGAACCACCTCTGTTATTAGAAACTTAGAACAAATACAAAAAACCAAGACAGAGAACTTCCGCGGCAGAGAATGCATAACTGGTATTTGACACAAGCAACTTCCGAAGGAAGAACCACCTGTCTCAAGGAAACCCGCGTACCCAAAGGGGCTAGGAAGGATAGATATGTACGGAGCTTAGATCGTTGTTGATGGATCACCACAACACTGGCGCGTGAAGCCACATGCAAGCACAAAAAATTGCCACTCCTAACAAGCCCATCTCCCTGAGAACCACCTCATGACTGGGACTAAGATCTCCTAACGTGCATCTCCTCTGAATAGTTAATCCCGATGGTAGTCCCTGCAGATCCACCCTCAAAATGATGCCTCCCTCGATGCCCATTCTTCGCCCCCATCACAGATTACGCAAGGGGACCCACGACCAAAGGGCGTGGATCCAACAAAGCTCCATAGGTGCCTAGAGACGTAGTTGTAGAGGGTGAAATCTATAATTAAATTTGTTAGGAGGCCAACAAATGA